GACAAGGGGAGATGAGGCCTTTGCAGAAACAAAGATGACCACTGACAAATGATTTCTCATATTACCAGGCTGCAAAGTCAGCACATGGCAATTTTTTAGGCCACACAAAGTGGCAGAAGTCTAGTGTCTTTCCTCTCCTTCTATTCCTGGAAAAAAGGTTGACTGGTCCTACATTTGTAAAATTTTCTCTGAATATCAATCTCATTGTAGCAGTACAAAGGGATTTGGTTTTGAGCCTTAAAATACATTCAACCAAAGGAGAACTCAAAGTAGTTCTATGTTGTAACACTGATTTTTAGAAATTAGGTATATTTCTGTCTTTCTAATAAACAAGTTCTACTTGACCCAAACTGGACACCTGAAACATGAAACATCATAATCTGTGTTTCTTTACCTTAAAAACATCTTAAGAGTCCAAAAAATACTTGAGTGAACAGCTGAAAGATAAACTGTATTTATACAAATAACACAAAAGTAATTATATTTATAGAAAAAATTAACATATATTTTAATTTTCATCATTCTGTCTTGTCTACTCAAGCAAAGGTCTCATTTTGCTGCAAGCTATAAAACAGAAAACAGGGATTTGCAGATGAAGAAAAGTGTTGCTTTTATAAAAGCAGATCTCCCCTTCCTCTCAACTCAGACCCAGAGTGATTAGTCAGTTCTATTTAGCAGATCTTTCCTGTCCCAGCTGGTAAATGTGTTACATTGCCCTCTGTCGCTTGTCTTGCATTTTTCCCACCAAGGAAGATCTACTCTAAAAGGATGAGGAAAGTTTCACTGCTCCTGATAGACAGCAAAGACTCTCTGCTTACTCCTTCTGTAGATATCTTTGCGTTTGGAGAAAACGAAAAATCCTCCTCTGGTATTTAAGGTTCAAATCTGGGAGAAGTATAATCCTGGGAAAGAAGAAACATTCATCAATATTTAAGGTGGGAAAACTCATTTCAATTTCCTGTTCTGCTGAACTTCTCAGTGCACATTGGAAAGCAACTTAAAGCCGATTACACCAGCTGAAATAAAGCTGGCACTGGCCCTTTGCTTTTGCTCTTCAGTCAGGAAGACTATGATAGCTAGAGCTTTTGAACAAGCACAGAAACCCTTCCCAATCCACAAGTGACACAGTCAAACTGAAAACTCTAAGAGTTGCTCAGATCCTTACAATGGTGGGTGCTGCATAAAGTTGTAAGATTTTTTGTTTCCTTGCTACACTAGCATCTAGTGTTGGATGGTGCATCCCAAAATTATTTCAACTCTGAGAAATTTGTGCTGTATTTTTGCATAAGGAGGAGGAGTTTTGGACACCTGAGTCTTCTTACAGAAATCTGATTTCCATCATTGTTTTATGGGACTCCTGAAAAAAGCCAGCTTCTTCTTTTTTTTCAGACTGGCAGTCATGTACCTGTATGATGAGCCAGTCTAGGGTCAAAAACTAATTCCCCCCTCCCCCAACATCTTATTTCATCATTATTTACAAAAATAAGATAACATACATATTTAAAATTACGTAGAAATGATGTATTGAATATATATCTCAACACTTGAACTTACATTTAACTATTTAATTAATAGAAAGAGAAATTTTAAGCGGAAGAAACAGTATACAAAAAATTAGTATAATATTGAAATATGTTTTATGCCTTTTTAGAGATAAGAATATTTATAAAAAGCATAATTTATACTTAAAAATACACTTATCACATACAAAAATTTCTGATATATCACTTCAATTTTCACACATATGCATCACTTAATTTAACTCCAGTGATTATTGTTTATATCCTTACAGCTCAGAGTGCTGCTGGCCTAGATATAAGGGTGGGGATTATTCTCAAGCAGTACAAAGTAAATGCTGATTACCTCAATCTGCCAAATTTTTTCTGGAAATGTTATACTGCAGAATGTACCCTAGATCAGAATTATGTATTAAGTTCCGTTTTGCATTACTTGATTATGTCTATGACAGAAAATTATTACTGTGACCTCCCTAGTGGCTACAATTCTGAGGTATTGTTTTTAAGCAATTTATCTTGTCTGAAGGATGGTGTAACTTTGTCATATAAATGATTCTTTTAAGCACAATTTTAAAGGAAGCATTCAATCTAGTGTTTTGCTGTCTGGATAATGACTTAAGGCCTTGGCTCAACCTCTCCTGTGTTTCTATTACCTCTAAACTGTAAGAAGTGGTTATGAAATGTCACATACCTACCCTGCTATTCAATTTGTGCTCACAGAGGAAGTCATTCCAATCTCACAAAAAAATTCTGAAACATCGTTTATCAGCCTGTGCAGAGTTTTGAGATCCTCGGCAAGGGGGATAATAGGATTGTAAGGTCCTTTGTTTGTTTTTAAGATTTTTTAAAATATCAAAATAGGCATTGAATTCTATTTATATATTGCAGCAAATATAGCACAAAAGAAATAAAGCCTTTTAAGTAAAACATTTTATTTATACTTTGAAAGTAACAATTTGTAGACCTGCTGCCTTTCTATTTCAAGTCCTATTTGACTATTTCAAGTCCTATTCAAACCAAGGGCATGACTCCCCACCTTCCAGGGTGCTTTCATCAGGGCTCAGGAGAGCCTCACAAACCCAGGTGATGCGTTGGATGCCTCATATCACTTAGAGTTAATTGAAATTCAATAACGAATGGCAGCATTCAATACCATACCAGAAATAATAATGCAGAAGGGAAGAAGGGTTCCCTGCTGACTGTGCACCTGAGGGGGCTCCAGCACACTTTTTCTAACCACCTAGATCTAACACATTTGAGCTATGCTTGCGGGTAACCCAACAAAGCAATAACAGCCCAGCAATACCACAGTCCTCTCCCCAAATACTTCCCTAGTTCACCAGCAGCACAGGTTGTATGTGAGCCTAGCAGAAAAAGCCTTCTCTCTGTTAGTAATTATATTGCCTCTGATTTTTCATGTTGTCCATAGTTTGTCCCTGTACTCAGCTTTCCTGTGATTTGGGATGCCTCACAGGCCTGTCCAATTTGTTTAAAATGGGTATTAGGGGTTATTTTAAAATTTTAGATCTGAAGCATGACTTCAGTGCATGAAGCTATGGTAAATCTCAAGGAACATCATGGGGAATAATTGTGATTAGAGCCTAAAAACCAGCACATTTTCCTTGGGAAAGGCTATGAGCACAAGCTCAGTATAAATACATACCTATCCTGTGTGGCCTTTGAAGAATGACAATGTGCTATCACAGCAACAAGGAGCCACTGTGACTGCTCTCCTTAATGAATGTGGTTTTTAATTTTTCATGGAACTTACATATGAAAATGAGATTATAGCTTTGGTATTATTATTACTGGAAGTGTGTTTTGAGAAGGAATGTTGTGAATACCTGCGGAAAAAGAAATCATTCTGCTTGGATTACATAATGTATTTCATAAAAGAATAAATCATGAAGCTTCACTTTCAGTGATTCTTTTTTTCCCCTCCATTTTGATATCTGTGAACTCACTTTCTCTTAGGGCAGTAGTTAAAACTAGTTTTCTTTACTTTGAGGATTGATTCTGCATCTAGTAACAGTTGTTAATTCCTAACAAGTGGGACTTACAGGCAGATCCAAAGAAGACTTTATATTGACCACAGATACCTAACTGACAATGAACAGAGCCCATTTTCACATCTGGACAGGGAGACATGAGGGCCTTGTGTCTTAGACACAGCCAGGGTTACATGGCTGCTGAAAGAGTGTTTTTTCAGATTTCAGGTTTTGCTCCTGTGTACTCATCTTTGTCATTTTCCATGGTTTGGGCTGTCATTTTACAGGTTATTCTAAAACAACAACATTGAGTTTATTCTCCCTCTCTTCTCAGTCTTACTCCAAGTTACAAAATATCTCTAAGTTGGAAGGAACAAATTGTCTTGATTGCCCAAGTTTTTTTCTTCTTCTGTTTCTCATCCTCTACTGTGGAGTCATTAAACCATGAAAGGAGAAGGAAACAAGGACACTTCCAATTGCAAACTGCAACAATTAGGAAGTAGGAACACCCCAATTCTATAAGTAACCTAAGAAATTTTTTCCCTGCTTCTCCTTCCCTCCTATTTCCCTCCCCTCCTTCCTTGCCCCTCCCTCACCCCCAACCCCCTCCATGTCTGTGCATCCTATTTCACATGTTCATTTTGGAACTGGTATTGATTCAGGACCAAACTTCATAAAAATAATTTCAATTAAACACAGTAAGTGGACCGGTGACATTAAGAGAGGACAACTGAGATGGTGATTTGGGCAGTTAAGAGATTGAAAGGAAAGGGGATAGATGAGGATTGGTTTAAAATGTGAAAAAAAAAAAAAAAAAAAAAGAGGCTGAACTTTTATTGCCAGTGTTATTTAATTATTTCCGAGTTAACAATCCAAAATGAGGGTACACTAAATATAAACCCTTATCTTTAATTATTAAGCCTGTCCTCTTCTACTTGTACTGGAAAACCTGAAATCAATGAGAATGAATCCCAGCAGCGATCCAGTTACTACCAGAGAAGGGCTGCATATACGAAAGGAGGGCAACGTGCTTTAAAAGACAATACAACAGAAAGTAATGCAATTTGAGGGGGGAAAAAAGGGAAAAAAATACAAGCGAGGTTCGTTTCCTTGTCTGCCTTCATCCTGAGCTCACATTAAATGACAGACTTTTCTTCTCTCTGCATTCCAATTAGAGCGTGCCAGTGGGCAAGCGGGGAAGGGAATGTTAATGAGGCAGGGGGAGCGGGCTGGGAGCCGGGGCCGGCGGCTCCCCGCTCCCGCCGCAGTCCGGGGCGGCCGCCGGGGCTGTGCCCTGCCGAACGCGCGCTTGACCGGAGGCGACTGACAGGCTGAGGAGGGCGGGCTACGGACAATGTCTTGTACCGGCCCGGCGAGCGCTTTTCGCCCCGTTTCTCGTTCGCGCACCGGCGACGCCGCCGCGCCCGCCCGCTCCGGGTTCCGAGGCCGCGGAAGCCGCTCCGGGCCGGTGCCGGTGCCGGTGCCCCGCGGGCGNAGCAGCTGTCAAACGCGCTGGGCGCTCGGCGGCGACGGGGGGCGGCTCGCCCGCGGTCGGTCCCCGCACCGAGCCCCGGCGAATGGCATGACTCTGCCTGCCGCCCGCCCCCCGCCCCCCCGGCTGCGGTGTGCCGTAGTGAGGCGAGGGGTGGTTAAACCCCCGTCCTCCCGTACATACGGTTTTTATTTTTTGTTCCTTTTCGTCTCGGGGCTTTCACATCACGGAACAGGAAAGCATCTGATGCGCCGGCTCACATGCCACTTCTGATCATACATTGCCTCCTTGCACAGAGCAGGATCGTTGGGAAAGATGGAGATACAATAAGTTGCTAGTACTGAAAAGTGCTGCGGAAATCCAGTGGTTTCCTTTCTCCAGTGAAGTGACATATTTTCCTCGGGTTTAAGTTGAAAGCGCTGCTTGGCGGAGACTGACTGTGGCTGAGAGTGGGTTTGTGTTTTTCTTGCACCGTTAGGTTTTGCAAAGAGCAGCGATGAAGAAGAAACTGGCACCCTCCGAGATGCAGTTGGTTCTTCTCGTTTTATTGGTGTGGCTACCAACAAGGTGAGAGGATATTTAGTTTTGTTGTTCAGTGCGAACGTGTATGTTACAGTCTGAGAAGGGTAAGCTTGGTTGAGGGGGGGTTATAAAAGTAGTAACGTAATAAAAAAGCTTTCTTAGCTGTTTGAATGCAGTATTACATAGTTTTGAGAGCAAATGCAGTAGAATGTAGTTTAGGGACCATAAAAGCCTGATGTCTTGTCCTTAAACGGTTTGTGAATCGATGCTTTATTCCATCATGAAAATAACAATTTCTTTAAATGCCTTTTTGGATCTTAAAGACTTGAGTTACTGCATAACTGTGATTCTGTACCATACAAAATGGAGAAACAGATTTTTATGAAGTCACACTGCAAATCACTGTCCTTAAAATAATGCTCATATATTTATTAATATGGGCATGCCTTTTTTTTTTTCTTGATTTTTTTTTTGGTCAAACATAATAGAATTCAAAATGATGCTTAAGCCTTAAACCTCTAGGTGGAGATAGCATACAACTTCACAATCAGATATAATAAAACAATAGCATCATTTATTAATCAACTTTTCTTATGTTGTGTAAAGTTCTCAATTTCTAAAGTGACAGTATAAGAGCAAGTAATTTTTATTACATTATACTTTTGTGTTGCTCACAGTCCCTAAACACATATTTAATTGTAGTTTGTAACTTTGATTTACTTGCTTTGGTTGTGGCTGCAGTACGTCTTGTCCTAATATGGTAAAGACTGTATGCTATATAATGCAAATTTCCCATGATTTAACGTGTCTCCAATATTTTTGTTTGTTTCCCAGCGAACAAAATATTTTCTGAAACTATGTTTTCTATTTCACTTTATACCTAACTGGTGCAGTATTAGTTGAGTCACAGTGGGCCAGATCCTGCAAACCCTACTCAAGTGAGTAATCTTACTGACGTCAAAGAGGCTATAAGCATTATTAAAGACTTTATGCCTGAGTAAAGTTTGCAAGATTCGACCCTAACTTGATGTAATTGTATTGATCTAATATTTTTAGTGGAATCTTGAGTTTAAAAACTGAGACGTACTCTGGTAGTCCATGAGTAGAATTGTACATTTTACAAACCAAAAAGGAACCATCCAGTAATTGCAACTAAGAAAAAACTGACACATTAATAAAATCACACATGACATTTTCATGGGTTCTTTGCAAATTATCTGATTTGGCTCGATTCTATGGTTTTTTATGATGGAAAGCACAGACTGCAATGATTTACATTTAAATACTGTTTTATGCTGTTGAACTGGGGACCAACATACAGCCTTGTCTTTAATTCTTTTATAGCTTGCTTTAGAGAAAATATCACCCAGACCTACTTTTGGTTTGGAGGAGGAGGAGGAGGAAAACATGTTGGCTATTATGGCATTCAGAATGCCTTCATTTCGAGATTATTAATACACAAGCATTTAGGATTAAAAATTTAGGTAGCTGAAAAAGGTGTAAATGGTAATGCAAGTAGCATATGGTGCTTTACTTCCTTGATACCAATATGCTAGTTTTAAGTAGATAAGACTGATGAGCTCAATTATTTCACAAGCATTGTGCTTAAAATTGTTGGCACAGTAACATTTGCATGTGTAAGGCTTTCTGCATGTCAGGGTTTCCCTGGCACAAGCCCTGTTGGTCTGGGTGCCCAGGTGCCAGACTGTGGGCCACCACGGCTGGCTGGGCAGCAGGTTCATATTCCAGCCCCTATAGCATGTCCCACAGAGATTTGATCCATAAAGGCTCTGATGTATCTTTATTGGGGAAGTTTGAAACAATCAGTGATCTACAGATTCTTCTTGACACTTCATTTATGATTCCTTTTTCCCTCCAACTTCTATAAGGTCTGTCTGCATCTAATGGAATATCAGATAGTGCTTTTTATGACAAAATAGGATTTTAGAAAGATGAAGGCTGTCCACAGCTATCCTGCAGCTTGCTAGTCAGCACCGGTGTTCCCTCCCACCAACTGCTGGCGTCAGAGGACTCCCTGAGCATGATCGCTGGAGTTTTCCCTCATGTTAGTTCTTCTGGTCATGTACATTACATGACCATTGGGTGGAGGCAAATCCACAGGATTTATCCAGAGATAGAGTATGCCTAAGTGAGGACAGATTAGATAGAGCTGGAAGGAGATGGTTTTGTGCATGGGATCCCGGGTTATCAGCCCAGGAGAGACATGCCACCAGAGTCTGGGAAGCTCTTCTAGGGTTTTGCACCAGCACAGCCTCCACTAACAGTGTTTGTGGAGCTTGAAGCAGCACTCTCAGTAATGCAATGATGCCTACAAGTAGAGGCTACTGGAAAATTACTTCCTGGATATTTTAAATAGTATTCTGTTGACCCTTATATGTCTGAACTTGTTATATATAAATTGTGTATTTGTATACTGTTAAATACACCTTTCCTGTTGGAATGCAGCAAGTAAAGGCCAGCCCAAAAAAAAAAAATGCATGTTGCGTGTATGTGAAAACATACTTAGCACCTTCTAAAATGTAAAATATCCATTTAGATCAGTGCTGGCTGACTCCCTGGAAGACGAAGCTAAGAATAACATCACCATCTTCACAAGAATTCTAGACAGACTTCTGGATGGTTATGATAATCGCCTCAGACCTGGATTAGGAGGTAATACAACCAATTAAAGATTGATTTAAAAAAATCAATTTTAATGTTCAGATTTTATGCAGTGATATTCTTCCTTCAGGGTTTTTTTTTCCCTAACAACTGGTATGTATCTTGATAAATTATTTATAACTACATTCACCCAGATGAATCATTTGAAGTTTGAGGAAGATAACATCTATGAATGGAAAGAAGGCATTTTCACACATTTATCTTAAGTAAAAGGAAAAAAAAATCTGGTGTTTTAACATAGTAAAACAGAATGTGAACAAAAATAACATCTAAAGCTGTTATTCCAGTCAGGGAATTTTGGTTGAACAAGGAATACAGGCTTAATTCCCTGCAATCTGATAGGTGTATGTTTTCAGAAATCTGCACAAGTGTTTTGTGAGATGCGTATAAATTCCACATTTTAGACTTGTTCCTTGGCCCAATAAATTCAGTGAAAATGTTGTGATTTTGGCTTCTTTGGAATTAGGGTGTCACTGGTAATATACATTTCGTTTTTGGGCACCTTGCACTTATTTGAGCAGCTGGAAAAAAATACAGAAAAAGAGAATATTGAAGGACAGAGGTCACTGCACTCTTGTGCCATGACTGTCAGTTATTTTCAAAATGTCAGTTCTCATTTTGATTTTAAAGCTGTGTGCCATCTTATGTCAGTATATGTTATATAGGCAAGAAATTTAAATAATTTTATGGTGTTGAAAATATTACTGTGTACAGAAAAATCTCTATGACATAGGGAGGGGCTGAATATCTTTGTTTTGACCATATTTTGTCTACTATTGTTTATCTGTATTTATACTATCTCACATTGACATGCATCATTCAAATATACACTTATACTGCCATTATTATTATTTGTAACAGTTTTGGTAATTGTAATTTTCAACCTAAAGACTGTTTCAGCTTGGTGCAACTAATTCTAGTTCAAAATCCTTGGGAGCCATTCCTGTTCTTGTTGATTTCAGGAAGATCAGGCCTAAAGCTAGAGACATGCTCCAACTTCCATGGAAATTACAATAACAGCTCTGATCAAATTAGGCATTAGTTAAAGCTCAGAGTTTTTATCCAACACCATTCCATCCTGACCTGTGGCTCTGTTGCTGTTCTGGTCCTGGGGAATTGTGGCTTGAATCTGACACAGCAGAAAGTGGGAGCTGATGCTGACTAAAACAGCTTTCTCATTATACATTGCTTTTAAACTAGGATGTCTTTTCATTTCCATTTCTGGCCTCTTTACACTGAAGGCTTGTGAAATATTTTATAGTCAAAGATTTCTTAATTTGGATGATACAGGGGACCTATAGCACCATTGATGCTAGAATTTATATAGTAATGTTTTACATGCAGTTTTGATTTCTTTGCAAAATACTCAAATTTAAGAATTTAGGGATAGTATAAACATACAATGACTTGCAGAAACATTTCATATCACCAAGCTCATGTTGAATTGACGGGCTTTTAAAATAATGTTTTTTATTAGAAAAATAGTCAAAGTTTTCTTGCTTACAAGGAATGAGCCATTTAATGAGAGCAGTCTGCAGTTTCTTTGCATAGCAAGTATTTTTTTAATATTGAAATAATATTGTTGAGAACATGAAATAAAGAAAAGATGTAATGGATTTTTCTTTTATATCTTTCACTAAATTTGCTTCAAAATAACCTCTCTCTTTTTCTTTATGAAGCCTCATAGATAATTAAAACATACTCTGAGAGCAAAAAAATTAAAGAATTAACATATGTTTGATATTGGTATACATAGCAATCAACCCATGCAGAATATGTGTGAAATGAAACTGTGTCATGCATATTAAACCGTGGTGATTCATGACACATTAATCTTAATCTTCAAGACTACTTCAGTTGTGGATGGATGGATTCTTACAGTTTAAAAGAGCACTTGTAAATGGCAGTTGTGATAATTCATGATACAAAACAGACCAAACAAAGCTTTTGTACATATTGCTTAGTAATTATGTAGTTTCATATTTCAGGAATTTTCTAGCAGTTTATTCCTTTTTCTATACTGACCTGTAGTCTGAAAAGAGATGTGGAAACAATGAACCTTTTTTTTTTTTTTTAACACTACATGCCTAGTAAACCTTTGAATTTCTAAAAGTGTTTTTGCAAGAGATTACTGCATTCTGACCATGCCACACATCATTAATTTAAGATACCTAGTCTCAGTTGTGTTTCACTTCCCTTTATATGAATCTGAAATAGCTCATTTGAATGCAGCAGAATGTTTACTTTGGCATAGCAGTTTGCATTATCATGCACATATCACTGCTATGACTGGGATCACAATCTGGCCTAACGTGTAAAACAGAAATAGTCCAGGGTCTGAGATCCTTCTAAAGTCATCTGAAAGCAAGAGCTGTTCATCAGCCCACTTTCACTTGCTGTGAAAGACATTTTCAGAGGTGTTTTACAGCAAGAATTTAGCTCATGGTAGAAAACTGCTCCTTTAGTAATGAAATGTTTTGGGTTGATATTGACATTTTATCTAGTTATTGACCAACAAAAGGGAAATGTACAGGCTTCTTGAAAGTCTATATATTAAATTCAGCTAAGTAAATGTCTGTTTGGGAGGTAGTTCTTGAATTAAAGGATAGATTTGTAATTAATTTTACTGGGAGACTTAGTGTAAGTACTGACAGCATGTAACTTGATGCTTTACTGATGCAATTCAAAACAGTACTATTTTCTATAGGCTGTTGAGGAAGGTTTAACTTTGCTGGTGGCACACCTCAGTCAGATAAACAGGTTTTGGCTGTTGGCTATTGGCTGTCCTACCAGCTGAGATCCTGAGTGATGTATGAACACTACAGTGATGAAATGACCTGCAAAATGGGTGTGGGCAGGGAGGAGATGACACTGCACCATCCCCTGAAGCCAGAGACATCTCATATGACTTAGATATATACCTGAGCCTGCTGTATTGATATGGATGAGCATAGGTTTATTCAAAGGGAGATAATCTTTTCTCTGTACTCATTTTATGCTAAGCACAGGATTGCAGCTGGAACACTCTTGACTGCACTTCCAGCTCTGAAGTGAACTATTTTACCCAAACATTCCATGCCATTTCTGTTTAGTCATCAAAATAAATTACAAGTTTGACTTCAAAACAAATTTTCCTGTGTCATTAGCATTAATTTGTATGAAATATAGCTATGCAAATGGTATGTCATACAGACCTTATTTGTTAATGACTTTCTACAAGTCATGAAGGTATTTTCTTTTTATTTGCTGTATGTTTGCAATACACTTAGGGTAGCATTTTTTCATAAATCCTTTGCTTTTTATTAGCATGTAGCAAAGGAAATCCACACATTAATGGGCACTAAAACTAAGCAAGGAACAAAAATATCTGTTAGTGATTGAATTATCTGTCTGTTCCCCTCTGCCCCATAAACAGACACAATCATGCTGGATACTTCAGTATTGTGACTATCTCCATAAGTTATCCAGCCTTCTTTACTTTCTCACATCTGAAATTAGCCTTTCCAACAGCTAAAGTACTTCTGTCTTTTCTACTCTCGGAAACTTGTAAAACAGAACTGAACAGAAAATTAAATGTTGTAGAAAAAAAAAACAACAAATAAGCAGCAAAACAAAAGAAAAGGGAGGTTACAAGGACAGAAGACTGGACTTCATATCCTATAATTTCAAGTGCTATATTGACATTGAAAAGACTTATGGAAATGTCAGGATCCTTCTGCAAACTGTGGTCAGTCTGACCAGCTTCAGGAATGGCATTCTTATTGTAACCAAAGAGTTGAATGCTGGTTGTTAAAAAAAGGAAGATAAGATAGTAGGTAGGTGAAAATTAAATGCACTGTGAATCTATTTTGAAGGAACCATCTCTGCTTCCAAATGTCCTGATTGCTTTAAGCAAGCATCTGCATTGCATTTCTCATACAGACAGACCAAATCCTCTTTCTTCCCAACTGATTTGTAAATCAGTTGAAGAAGAAAACTGAAAAGAATGGAGGGGAATTCTTGCTGACTATTTCTATCAGAGCGATGGTCAGCAGTGAGCACTTGCAGGTGTGACCTTTCATCTTCGGAGAATTGGATATTCCATTGCACAGAATCAGTGTAATGGTGTAGAATATCAGACTTGGTGATTAAAAGTTGTGTGATGTGCTCACCAATATGAGCACAAGGGAAACCCATTTTTTCACAGACTACCTTTGTCTCTTGTACAGATCAGAAGTACTGTATCCATATATATGTGTGTGTTTGTTTATCAAATAGTTGGAGGTTTTCAGTTGCCAGGAGACACAGCCATGGTCACATACTGATAATCTGGAATATGTTGAATTTAGGGCACTGTATTTAGACATTGCTGTGATTCAGAGTTTTTAATGAGCTTCAGAAGAGTTTGTAGCTATAGCAGTCCCTAGCTGGGGGATCCTAGTTTGGCTAGTCCCCTAGCCAAACCTAGTGGTGTTTGTCAGCCCCAAACATGCTTAATGCAAATTCAGAGTATCATAAAGGAAGGTTCTTTGTCTATTTTTTTTTTTCTGCAGAGCACTGCTAGAAATCTTCCACTACTGTTTTTAAAGGAAGAAAGTGCAGTTCCCCATCTCATCTCTGGTTGCTTCCTTAGCCTTTTTTTGAGCCAGGTTAATCTTTTGGAAATGGAATATCTCTCTGCCAGTGCTAGTGCAGAGCAATTCAGAGGAGCATTTGCATCTTCTAAAAGCCCACTGTCTTTGTAGCTATGCTGGGACACAAAGGGGTAAACTACTGTATGTGTGCTCCTCTTTTGGGCATACCTGGAAGGGCCACATGGAATTTGGCCATAATGGTGCTTTCAGAGGAGTCAATGAGAAACTTCTATTAGAGCTGTGGATAATGTATATCGGCAAAAAGCACTCCTTGTAAAAAATGGAGAAGCAATAAAGAGCAGGATATGAAAATCTCATTAATAACTTATCCAGGGCATGCAGACAGTGCTAAGATGCAAGAGCAGAACTAGCTCAGTA